CTCCGTAGAAACCTGGGTCACTTGTTCACCACTGAGCTTTTGAGGAACTGCCAGATGGAGCCACGGCTGCTGGACCATTTTACATCGCCGGGGTTTCTTTCTGAGGTGATGAATGCTCCAAAATTATTGTGGTTGTGATTATACAACTCTGCAAATGTATTAGACTCCATGTTGCACCTTAAGTCGTTGAATTGATGGGGTGTAAATTAGCTCTCAATAAAGATGTTAGTGACCAGACTTGATGTACATACCTGTGATCCCAGCACTCCAGGCAGAAGCAGGAAGAGGGCAAGGTCAAGGACAGCCTGAGCTGTGTAGGTAGACCCCATCTCAAAAATAAACAGAGCTCGGGCTGGGAAAGTGGCTCAGTGGTAGAGTGCTTGCCTTGCATGCTTGAAGCCCTGGGTTTGATTCCTCAGCACCACATAAGCAAAAAGAAAAAGCCGGAAGTGGAGCTGTGGCTCAAGTGGTAGAGTGCTAGCCTTGAGCTGAAGAGCTGAGGGACAGCACCCAGGCCCAGAGTACAGGCCTCACAACTGGACCCAAAAAATAAATAAAATAAACAGAGCTCAAGCTGGGGCCCAGTGGCTCACGCCTGTCATCCTAGCTACTCAGAAAGCTGAGATCTTAGGATCGTGATTCAAAGTCAGCCCAGGCAGGAATATCCATCAGATTCTTATCCCCACTGAACCACCAGAAAACCAGAAGTGGCGCTGTGGCTCAAGTGGTAGAGTGCTCGCCTTGAGCTGAATAGCTGAGGGACAGCACCCAGGCCCAGAGTTCAAGCCCTACAACCAACAAAACAATAAACAGCTGGACATGGGTGACTCACACCTGTAATCTTAGATACTCGGGAAGCTGAGATCTGAGGATCAAGGTTCAAAACCAGCCCAGGTAGAAAAGTCTGAGACTCTCATCTCCAGTAAACCACAGAAAACCGGAAGTGGCGCTGTAGCTCAAGTGGCAGAGCGCTAGCCTTGAGCTGAAGAGTTGAGGGACAGCACCCAGGCCCAGAGTTCAAATCCCATGGCAAACAAACAAACAGCTGGGCATGGGGGACTCACAATTGTAATCCTAGCTACTGAGGAGGCTGAGATCTGAGGATCATGCCTTGACATCAGCCCTCGCAGGAAAGTTCATGAGACTCTTATCTCCAAATAACCACCAAAAAGCCAAAATGGAGCTGTGGCTCAAGCAGTAGAGCACTAGCCTTGAGCAAAAAAGCTCAGGGACAGTGTTCAAGCCCCAGGATTGGCAAAAAAAAATTAACCTTTTAGGCAATATAAAAATCACAATTATGCATATCAAATTTTTCAATTGAAATCATTTAAAACTGCATTTTTCCATGAAACTTGCTTGTGCCTAGGAAATGATGGCTCATGTTTATAATCCTAGATACATGAGAGATTGGGATTGGGTGGGTCATGGTATGAAGCCAGCTAGGGGGCAGAGGACACCATCTCAACCAATAACTGGGCATAGTGATGCATACCTGTCATCCCAACTCTAAGATAAAGTATAAATAGGATGATGTTCCAGGAGCACACCCAGTTTGTGAGGGAGGGGGAACAACCCATCTCAAAAATAAGTAGGAGCCAAGTGCTGGTGGCTCATGCCTGTAATCCTAGCTACTCAGGAGGCTGAGATCTGAGGATCGTGGTTCAAACCCAGCTCGAGCAGGAAAGACCCGTGAGCCTCCTATCTCCAATAAACCACAAGAAAACCGGAAGTGGTTTGTGGCTCAAGTGGTAGAGCGCTTGCCTTGAGCTGAAGAGCTGAGGGACAGCGCCCAAGCCCAGAGTTCAAGCTCCATGTCTGACAAAGATAATAAGTAGGGCTGGGAAGGTGGCTCAGTGATAGAATGCTTGCCTTGCAGGCATGAGGCCCTGGGTTCAATTCCTTAGCACCACATAAGCAGAAGAAAAAAGCCGCAAGTGTCACTGTGGCTCAAGTGGTAGAGCGCTAGCCTTGAGCTGAAGAGCTGAAGGACAGCACCCAGGCCCAGAGTTCAAACCCCATGACCAACAAAAAAAGTAAAAATAAACTATACCAAGCCAGGTGCTGGTGGCTCACGCCTGTAATCCTAGCTCTTCAGGAGGCTCCCATCTGAGGATCACAGTTTGAAGCCAGCCGGGGCAGGAAAGTCCAGGACACCATCTCCAATAAACTCAAAAAGCTGAAGTGGTGCTGTGGCTCATGAGCAAGGGAAGCTCAGGGACAGCGCCCAAGCCCAGAGTTCACACCAAGCCCCAGGATCAGCAACAATAAATAAACACAACAGAATAAGGCTGGAGCCCCAGCTCAAGTGCAGTGCCTGCCTAACAAGCGTTAACCTGCTTTTTCCACCAGAAGAAAAAAGAGGCCAGGCACCAGTGGTTGACACCTATACTCCTAGCCCCTCAAGAGACTGAGACCTGGGAATCCTAGTTCAAAGCCAGCCCAGGCAAAGAAGTCCCTGAGACTATCTCCAATGAACCACCAAAAAGCCAGAAGTAGAGCTGTGGCTCAAAGTGGTAGAGTGCTAGCCTTGAGCAAAACAGCTCAGGGACAGCACCCAGGCCCTGAGTTCAATCCCCAGGACAGCAAAATAGAAAAGGAAGATGATGAATTTTTGTGGGACTGGAGGCTGCTCAGTGGTGAGCACTTGCTCCATATTCCATCCCCAGCGCTGAAAACAAAGAATTCATCAGCTTCATGCCTGGCCTGTGAGGCGCACAAATGGGAGAGCACTAGGAGCCATTTCCTATTCTCTGCAGGAAGAAGAACTTAGGGTGCAGCTGGTCTCCCCCAAGTCGCCATGACTTAGTCACTGTGTTCCTTTTTGTGTTTGGAGGCATCTACCCCTGCAGCCAACCCCAAGATGGACGGGAACAGGGTGACCCACAAACTCCCCAGGAATTTCCACACTCACTTTTGCCTCTTAACCCAGAACCAGAGATTAATCGCCAGGAAACCAGAAGTGGTGCTGTGGCTCAAAGTGGTAGAGTGCTAACCTTGAGCATAAAGCCCAGGGACAGCACCCAGGCCCTGAGTTCAAGCTCCACAACTGACCAATAAAATAAAAAGTTCTCTGAAGCCAGGCACTGGTGGCTCACACTTGTAATCCTGGTACTCAAGACACAGATCTGGGATCAAGGTTCCATGCCAGCATTGGCAGGAAGGTCTGTGAGATTCTTTAGTTAATCACCAAAAGATGAATTGGAAGCACAGCTCAAGTGGTAGAGCACTAGCCATGAGCAGGAGAACAAAAAGTGAGAATAAGAGGCCCTGAGGTCAAGCCACCACAAAACCAGTAGTCCTGACTACATGGGAGACAAAGATCAAGGATCAAAGTTCAAAGCTACCCTGGGCAGAAAAGTTTGTGAGAGGCTATCTTAACCAGTGGCTCGGCTTTGATGTCTGCATGTTTCATCCCAGCTACAGGAGAAGCACAAGTAGGAGGATCAGACTCCAAACTGGCCTGAACAAGGCCAAATGCTACCTTGAAAATAACAAAAATAGGGCTGGGAAGGTGGCTCAGTGGTAGAGCGCTTGCCTTGCATGCCTGAGGCCCTGGGTTCGATTCCTCAGCACCACATAAGCAAAAAGAAAAAAGCCAGAAGTGGCACTGTGGCTCAAGTGGTAAAGTGCTAGCCTTGAGCTGAAGAGCTGAGGGACAGCACCCAGGCCCAGAGTTCAGGCCCCACAACCGGACCCAAAAAAAAAGAAAATAACAAAAATAGCCAGGCACCAGTGGCTCATACCTGTAATCCTAGCTACTCAGGAGGCTGAGATCTGAGGGTTGCAGTTCAAAGCCAGCCCGGGCAGAAAAATCCATGAGACTCTTCAGTAAACCACCAGAAAAACAGAAGCACTGTGGCTCAGGTGGTAGAGTGCTTGCCTTGAGCTGAAGAGCTGAGGGACAGCACCCAGGCCCAGAGTTCAAGTCCCATGACCGACCAAAAATAATAAGGCAGGTACTGGTGGCTCATGCCTATAATCCTAGGTACTCAGGAAACAGATCTGAGGATCAGTTCCAAGCCTGCCAGGCAGTAAAATCCATGCCTTATCTCCCTTAACCACCAGACAGGGGGGAAAAAAGTGGTTCTGTGGCTCAAGTGGTAGAGCACTAACCTTGAGCAAAAAGAGCTCAGGGACAGTGCCCTGGCCCTGAGTTCAGGTCTCATGACTGTGGGGGGGAAGTGCACGGGAAGGAAAATAGAACAGGCTCTTTTCTTTGAGGGAGGGGGAGAGGAATAAACAGGGTGAATGAGGATGAATATCCAATTCATGGATTTGCATCTATGAGAACAATGAAACCTGTTGAAACTGTATTTTAGAAAGTAGAGAAGGTAAGGGAGAGGGAGGGGCGAGTTTGACCCAGTACATGTCTGCAAGTGTGGAATTGTCACAACGCAACCCCTCTTATGCAACTAAGACATATTAGTAAGTTTTTTTTTTTAATGAATGTGATCCAAAAAGAGCTTGGAGTGTGGCTTGGGTGGCAGACTGCCAATCTAGGAAGCATGAGGCCTAGCGTTCAAACTGCAGCCCCACCAACGAAACAAATAAAATACTTTGTGTCCCCCTACCTCTGTGCTGGTGCAACAGCCATGGCAAGCCACAGGTGGCAATCAAAATTAAACTTTGTTCCAAATGTACTGGCTGTGTTTTCTTTTTCCCCAGTGCCGGGGAATGGAACTGAAGACATCCACGTGCTAGCAAACACCTCAGCCCCTTACCATTTCCTTTGTATTTGCTTTTAGTTTATTGAGATAGCTCTATGTAGCCCAGGCTGGTGTCTGGAACTCACCATCCCTCTGCTTCTTGAGGTTAACAAGTGTGCCCACAACCATACCCTACTTTCAGTCTATCAGCAGTCCCCTGAGACTCTTAAGGAACAGAATATAAATCTCAGTGATGGCTGGCTGGAGGATTGCTTCCTTTGCAGCGAGCCAGACTCCTATTTTCCCTAGGTAAGAATAAGCCATTTTGGTACCAAAAGGTGGCCTCCTGAGTGCATGTCCACATGCCCCCCCCTTCCCCTGCAAGCTGCTGGCTCTGAGAGCTGCCTAAGGAGCTACCTGGGCCCACACAGCAGCTGCAGGGCGGGGAGGGGCCTGGCTGCAAAGCAGGTGCACCTACACACATACCCACAAACCCTGTGCCCTGCCAAAGGCGTGGCCCAGCCGGTGACCCGTGAGAGCCGAGGTCACTGGGGGAAGGAGCAAGGACTGTGGTTCCCCCTGGCGGAGCCATGGGAGGACTATGATCAGGAGGAAGAGACAGGAAGGCTCAGACTTCCGGAGGACTTCCTCCAGCTGCCAGAAGGGTTCAGAGATGCCAGTGTGGAGAGTGGGGGCCGGCTCAGCACCTGGCCAAGGTGAGAGAATGTTCCATTCTCCACACGTGGCTCTACCCCAGCTCCTCGGTAGAGCCTTCCACAGCTATCCCTGCTCAGCATGACCCTTGCCATGTGGCCTGCCATTCTCCAGATCTTTCCCCCCTGGGGTGGAACAAAAGCACTGTGGTCACTGAAGTTCCCAGCTGTCTCAAGTATGCTGATGACAAGCAGGTGGATGTCCAGGGCCGGCCTCTGTAATTAGCCTCCACCGGCCCAGGTTCCCACCAGTAAATTCAACCAACCATAGACCAAAAATACCCCTTCAAAGTGGAGCATGGTGGCTCTCACCTGTAATCCCAGCTACACATGAGGTGTAAGTAGAAGAATCTCATTCCCAGTCTTGCCCCAAGTAAAATGAGAGACACACCCCCCCGTGGGGGGAACAAAAGCAAAGTAGGGCCAGGTACCAGTGGCTCACGCCTGTCATCTTAGCTACTCAGGAGGCTCAGATCTGAGGATCACAGTTCAAAGCCAGCCCGGGCAGAAAAGTCCATGAGACTTATCTCCAATAAACCACCAGTAAACTAGAAGTGGCGCTGTAGCTCAAGTGCTAGAGTGCTAGCCTTGAGCTGAAGAGCTGAGGGACAGTGCCCATGCCCAGAGTTCAAGCCCTACCACCAACCCAAAGAAAAAATAGGGCAAGGGGACATGACTCAAGTGGTAGAGTGCCTGCCTAGCAAGCCTGAGACCCTGAGTTCAAACTGTAGGACCACCAAAAAAAATAAAAGTTACATGTGCTGAGTGCACAGTTTCTTTTTGTCAATTGTTCTAGTGGTCTAGAGATTTCAGACTCTCACCAGGCCATGTTAGGGAAGGGACCAAAGTGCTCGTGAGAGTCGCAGAACCACATCTGTAGTCCCTTTGCATCCAGATCTGTTTGCCTCCCAATTGCACTGACATGGTGTCTCACCCCTCCCCCACGGGACGGGGCACACCATCCCCCATGATCCCAATTGGTAATGATTGTCTTTTCTCATGCTTTCCTTGGCAAGTGGCCTGTTCAGTCCTAGCATTCGGTGGCCAGCAGCCAGTCAAGTGATACTGAAGATAAAGATCCAGGTCTGAATCGGCCCCTCCATGGGACTTGCATCTCTGATTCTTCCTGGGAGGGCCTCGTGTGTGTGGGCAGCAGGGCAGGGAGCCCAGCACCTTCTCTCAGGATGATCAAGGTGATGGGGACAAAGGTCTTTCACTGTACTAGACATGTGGAGCTACAGCTCCAGTAATAGACAAACCATGCTCAGTGCAGAGCCAGCTGATCTGAAAATAACAGTCGGCTGACTAGAAAAAAAGAAAGTCAGATGCTGGTTATCCTAGCTACTCGGGAGGCTGAGATCTCAGGATCATAGTTCAAAGCCAGCCCAGGCAGGAAAGTTTGTGAGACTCCTCTCTAACCACCAGAAAACCAGAAATGGCCCTGTGGCTCAAAGTGATAGAGTGCTAGCCTTGAGCAAAATGCTCAGGGACAGTGCCCAAGCCCCGAGTTCAAGTCCCACAACTGCCTCCCCTCCCAAAAAAAATGCCAGCTGTGTGAGAGGTCTGTGTGTGGCGTGGCTCAAGTGGTAGATTGCCAGCCAGGTAGCTGAACAAGCATGTGTCTCCAAGTTTAAACCCAGATACTGGAGGGGGAAAAAAATCCAACTGGACATGGTGGCCATGCCTGTCACCCACAGACTCAGGAGATGGAGGCAGGAGAATCGAGAGTTCTAAACCAGACTGCAGTACATAGTGAGGCCTTGTCTCAAAAACAGACAAACCAACTGATAATCCCTGAATTGAGACAATTCCAGCTGAAGGTTTTTTATTATTATTTATGCTCCACACACCTATTCTGGTTTTCGTGTTCATGTACAGCAAACCCAATACATCCTGTGAGACTCTGTTCTATACTTGGTTATAAAAAGTGGCTTTGTGGAGAATTTGCCTCCTTCAGGAATAATATGTGCTCAGAGCTTTGTTCAGGCATGTCCAGCCACGCTAGAATGTTCAGCCAATTAGGTGGAATTAGTGCATTTTTTTTATTTCTTTTTCTTTTCTTTTGGTGCCAGTCCTGGGGCTTGAACTTAGGGCCTGGGTGATGAGAATTACCACCTGGCTACTTTAAAGTGCTTTAGAGTACTTTAACTTACAATGGGTTTATTGAGCATACCTCCTGATACATCAGAAAAATCAGCTATATCCATAAACTTCCGACTTCTTGGAAGAATCCAGGTGTTGGAAGGAAAGATTTGGTGCACAAGCAGATTATCTGAGTGACTGGCTGGTTCATACCCATGGTGCCTCAGTTGCACTATCTGTAACCCAGGTTTGACCGTAGCCCCACATCACCGGGCTGTTGTGAGAGTGCATTCGCTGACAGAAAGTGCTTGAAGCTGCACCTGATCTCCCGGAAAGCTACCCTGAGTGTCAGTGGCCAGTGGAAGGGTTGGCTGGAGTCCAGGGTTGCTGGCACTGGCCCATTCAGATCTGGCTTGGGCTTCTGTGTTTATCCATGGCTTCAGCAACCAGCAGCCCTGGGCCTTGCTCCAGGCTGCTTCTTGGGTGGGCCCCACTGTGAGATTCGTGTCTGTCCTCACTGTCCAGTGGAGTATGGTGGCTTCTAACCTCATTCTAGCCAGGACTGAGGTTACAGCCCTTGGACCACCAGGACCTCCCCCCAGGCATCCCAGCCCCAGAGAGGAGGGGAATGTGCTAGAATTGCGTGGAGGAATCTGGGCACTGGGGCTCACAATCCTAACAAGGAGACTGAAGATGGAGATTCCCAGCCCAGGCAGGAAAGTTCCTAAGACCCATCATCTCCAATGAACCATCAAAAAGCCAGAAATGGAGCTGTGGCTCAAGTGATAGAGCACCAGCCTTGAGTAAAAAGAGCTCAGGAACAGTGCCCGGGCCCTGAGTTCAAGCCTCAGGACGAGCGCACACACACACATAGTAGAACTGAGTGGAGGCGACTCCCCCGGGTTTCCCGCACAAGTCCCTTCACTGCCTCTGCTCTGTGAACTTTCCTCTGGCCTTGTGTCCCCAAGGTCGGGGAATCAGGTAACTTAGAGTGGCATTCCCAAGGGCATTCAGGCCCCACCGGGACACCCAGCAGGACTTCTGTGACAGTGACAAACCCTGGGCTGTGTCCCCTGATGGCTGTCCAACCTGGAGTTGCAAAGGTGGCCTATGTGAACCGTCACTAGTTCCCCCTGCAGCTCCTGTAACCACCGGGCCCTCACCTGGTCTTCCCTCTGCCTACGCCACCCAGCAGCCTGCTGCAAGTGCCATCGGACTCACCCAGATGGCTGCCTGAGCCTGCCTGGCACCTCCTGCGTCTACCCGGCTCTTCACTGGGTCCCCAAGTCTGGTCCCCATCCAGGCCCAAGCTCAGGGCTGGCGTGGGACGTCACAGTGGGAAACACACATGACCACGGAGAATGGGTGGGCTGCGCTCACCCAGACCCTCATCTGCTTCCTGCTCTCTTTTCTCCAATCCCTTTCTACAGGACGATTACAGCTTGGGACAGCCATGTCCAGCCGGAAGTACAAGGACAGACCGGACGACCAGCCTGGTGTCCGTGGAGACCCGTACTGCCAGCCAGGTGGGTGTGGGTATCTGCAGGGACATGGTCTCGGGAGCAGCAGTGCAGACGGCGGACCTAGGGGAGTTGAGGAAGGTGACTCTTGACTCAGGGCTCAACGCTTGCCTCAGTGGGATTCTCTTGAGACACCTATGGGGGACCTGGGGTCAGAAGGAGACACACGGGAGCTGACTGGGGACACATATGGTGGCCCTTTGTCCCCCATGCTCCAGAGGAAGAAGCAGGAGGTAGAAAGGCAAGGGGACACAAGGTCCCAGCGGGTCACCAGGCCCAGGCTTAAATGTCTGGTGAGTTCCAGACACCTGAGCCCCAGTCTGGCCACAGGTCTTAAAGGCACTGGCTGAGCAGGGAGCCCTTCCTTTCTCCAAAAGAAGACAGGGAAGCCCGGTGCTGGTGGCTCACGCCTGTAATCCTAGCTACTCAGGAAGCTGAGATCTGGCAGATTGTGGTTCAAAGCCATCTGGGACAAAAAAGTCTGTGAGACTCTTTACCTCCAATAAACCACTCAGAGAACCGGAAGTGGCACTGTGGCTCAAGTGGTAGAGCGCTCTCCTTGAGCTGAAGAGCTGAGGAACAGTGCCCAGGACTAGAGTTCGAGGCCCACAACTGACAGGAAAAAAAAAAGACAGAGCAGGGGCTACAGGCAAATGACTGGTGCCCCAGCACCTGGGACTCAGTCCACACCATCCCTGTGACCCCAAAAGCCCAGCCTACGGCAGCCACCCCTCACCACAACTTCCCTTGCACCCCATCCCAAACCAAGTGAGACGCCATTTCCCCCAAGGGCTCCGTTAGAGCCAGCCGCCCTGTATCCGCTCAAATGAGGAACTTGATGGAAATCAATGCCACCCCTCCCTCATCCCGTTCTCTCTCCCACAGGGCCCAGCCATCGGAGCCACGAGGCACCCATGTACCCGTCAACTAGCTCCCACCAGTCTCCGCTGGCGCGCCCTAAGACGCAGCCCCCATCACCCCCAGGACCCTCTCGGCGGCCGCCTCCTCCACCAGCACGTCCCGGCTCAGCCCCATGGAACGGCTCGAGAAACGGAGGTGCCCGGGACAACGCCAACCGCAGCTTCAACGAGAAGCCGCCCTTCCCAAGCAAGGGACCAAAGGCCAGCACGGGCCCCAGGCCCGCACCGCTGCACTACTGCGAAGTCTGCAAGATCAGCTGCGGGGGGCTCCAGGTCAGTCACGCACCACCAAGCGACATCCGGGACTCCTGGGGCTGAGCAGAGGTCAGGCCTGAGGGAGGGCCCCGCAGGGCAGGGGGGTTGGCCATCAAGTTTGTGATGGCACGGAAATGGCTCCCAGGGAAGGAAGGTCACCTGAGCACAGGCATGGCCCTGTGGTATCTCTTTGCAGTCTGGTGGGGCAGGTGAGATGCAGTGTGAGCCTTGAGGCTGACTGGGCTTCCAGCAAATGGCCCGTCATGGTGTCCCCAGACATCTCCCTGGCCCAAGCCTGTGGAAGGCACTAGAAGTTTCAGCCTGGGCCTGGGGCCTGCTGGTGACTGCAGAGCCCTGGGACAGACCTATAGTTCCCCCTGCCATCCCCCACCCAGTCAGCCCCACCTGCTCCTGTCATCATTTCTGTGTGTGGTTTTTATCTTTCATCATGGGAATCTTGCCTGATAGAAAAGTACACACCAAGCTGGGTGTGTGAGCCCAGTGGCTCACGCCTGTCCTCTTAGCTGCTCAGGAGGCTGAGATCTGAGGATCAAGGTTCGAAGTCAGCCTGGGCAGGAAAATCCTTGAGACGCTTATCTCCAGTTAACCAGCAAAAAGCCAGAAGTGTAACTATGGCTCAAGTGGTGGGGTGCTAGCCTGAGCAGAAAAGCTCAAAAAGAGCCTCCAGGCCCTCAGTTCAAACCCCAGGACTGGTACTAAGAAAAGAAAGAATAATGCAGAGTTGGTGGTATATGCCTGTCATCAGGAGGCCTAGCTAGGAGAATCTTAATTCCAAGCCAACCAAAAAACAAGACCTTATCACCCTACCCCCCCAAAAAAAAAACTAAAGCAAAATGGGCTGAAGCTATTGCTCAAGTGGCAGAGCACCTGCCTAGCAATCACAAAGCTGAATTGAACCTCCTTATTTTATTTGTTAAAATAAGCTAGGTGCTAGTAGCTCACGCCTGTCATCCTACTTACTCAGGAGGCTGAGATCTGAGGGTCATGGTTCAAAGCCAACCTGGGCAGGAAAGTCCGTGAGACTCATATCTCTAATGAAGCACCAGAAAACCAGAAGCGGTGCTGTGGCTCAAGTGGTATGAGTGCTAGCCTTGACACAAAAAGAGCTCAGGGACAGCGCCCAGGCCCTGAGTTCAAGCCCCACAACTAACAAAAATGCATTACTTAATTAAATGTTTGCCTTCTGCCCCCACTCCCTGCTCTAATCTCTGCCTCCAAAACCTACTGTTGGCACAGATCTCCCATGTGTGCCTGGAATAAGATTCTCTCCAGTGTCCACCCCGGGCATGGTCAGAGCATGTTGTGTTGGGGCCTGGTGTGAGGTGTGTGGGGGCTGCCATCCCTCTTTCTCCAGGATTGTAAAGAATAGATCCGGGAGCCGGGATTCCACCAGAGCTGGGCCAGTAGATATTTTGAGCCCAGCAGATATTTTCAGCCCAGCAGATGGGGGCTGTGTGGGCTGCGGCCACCTGTGGCTCTCACGTGGAGTCCCTCAGTATATTGGCAGGTGCCTAGAAAGCACAGGGCAGTGGCCATGTCTGTGGGCAGCTGGCATCTGAGGTCCTGTAAGAGAAAGTCAGGCATTCTTTCATCACCACCTCCTGTTGCTAAGCTAAAAGTGTGGCGAGACAAGGATGCTTTCTATTGTTAGAAAAGAGGAAACCTGATTTATGCCTTTCAGCCTCAGCTTCTGAGTGTAATAAAAGTGACACTCACAGCCTATCGTCTTAGCAGCTCACGAGGCTGAGATCTGAGGATAGTGACGCAAAGCCAGCCCAGGGAAGGAAAAGGCTGTGAGACTCTTATCTACAGTTAGCCAGGAAAAAGCCAGACGTGGAGCTGTGGCTCAAGTGTTAAGAGCACCAACCTGGAGGATAAAAATTAAAAACTTTAAAAAAAAAAAAAAAGGGCTGGGAAGGTGGCTCAGTGGTAGAGCGCTTGCCTTGCATGCCTGAGGCCCTGGGTTCAATTCCTTAGCACCACATAAGCAAAAAGATAAAAGCCGGAAGTGGCGCTGTGGTTCAAGTGGTAGAGTGCTAGCTTTGAGCTGAAGAGCTGAGGGACAGCGCCCAGGCCCAGAGTTCAGGCCCCACGACCAGACCCAAAAAAAAAAAAAAAAAAAAAAAAGCGAATGGAAGGCACCCAGGCCTGAGTTCAAGCCCCAGGACTGACACCAAAGGAAAAATAAAAAGTGACAGTTACACTTCTCCAGCACCAGCAGGTGGCGGGGGCGGGGGTGCTATCCTCCTGTCTCTCCTGGGCTCCGGCCAGATGTGTGTGACCCCTCACTGAGGCCTCCTTCCCCCTCTACCGCAGACCTACCGGGACCACCTGGAAGGACAGAGGCACCGGAAGAAGGAGGCGGCCCAGAGGGCGGGCGCCCAGTCCAGCGGCGCAGTGCAGGGCCAGCTGCACTGTGACCTGTGCTCTGTGTCCTGCACCGGGGCGGACGCCTACGCCGCCCACATCCGGGGAGCTAAGCACAAGAAGGTAGGAAGGAACCGGGGCCCCTTGGAAATGGCAGTGGCACAGCGCCCCCAAGTGGCAGCACTGTTGAAGGGTGGGTGTGGTGGGCTCACCTGTGCAGTGGAGGAAAGAACCCCCCCACCACACACACACACACACACACACACACACACACACACACACACACGGGACATCTGCCTAGGTACAGCTGCTCACTGAGCAGGCCCTGTCCCACTCCCCAACAACAGACATGCAGATGTTGGAGGCCCACCTACCTCCCATCCTCCTGCCCCTGGGCCTTTGCATAGGGGCTCCACTTCCAATCTGTGCCTAGCTTCTCCCCCCATTCACTCCTAGGTTCACCCCAGGCCTCAGTCTCTGGCCCAACTCAGGGCAGATTCCCTAGTACCAGGGTGAACCCCTGAAAAATTAAGCTAGGTAGCACAGAGAATGGGAGAGATTGGAAACCAGGAGCCCCGGCAGCGAGTGGACCGTGGTTGGGGTGGTCGGGGTGGGCGGCGGTAGGAACAGCCCCAGCTTGGGACTTGTTCTGGAAATAATTTGGGGGTGACATGGTCTCTGTTACGTGGGGTTGAGGACAGATCTGAGGTATGAGAGTCAAAGACTCGGAGCTGGCAGTCACGTCTGACATGGTAGTTGGCATGGACGGCAGAGGCCAGGCGGGACCGGAAGCGCATGAGGGTCACGGCCAGCTCATACCCAGACTTGCGCACATTATTTGTCTGTTGTATAGGAGAGTATGTGTGCCAGTTCTGGGGCTTGAACTCAGGGCCTAGGTACTGTCCTTTAGCTTTCTCACTGCTGGCTGGTGCTCTACCACTTGAGCCACAGCTCCATTTCTAGCCTTTTGCTAGTTCACTGGAGATAAGGAGTCTCACAGACTTTTCTACCCCGACTGGCTGCAAACCGTGATCCTCAAGTCTCAGTCCTCCTGAATAGCTAGGATTGCAGGCGTGAGCCACTAGTACCTGGGGCTTTTTTGTTGGGGGACAGGGAGAGACAAGGTGGTTGAGACAGGGTCTCATGATGTATCCCATGGTATATATAGACCAGGCTAGCCTCAAAGCTGTAAGCCTCTTGCCTCCACCTCCTGAGGGTTGGGATTACAGGTGTTCACCACCATGCCCAGCTATGTGCACTTCTTACCCAGATTTACCATCTCCCAGGATCCCGTGCATGCACCCATCTTAGCTGGCAACCCCTAACCCCATGTCAGTCCACACGCACTTGCTGAGGCCTCTCTGGGCCTGGGCACCAAGAGGCAGAGACGTCACAGGCAGAGGCTTGTCAGCACCATGAAGTCAGAGGAAGGGTGTTACTGGGATTAAGAAAATCTTTGCAAGGGCTCTTCTGCAGAGAGTGGGGAGGAAATTCAGAGTGAGCCCTCCCCCCTTCCCTTCCTCCCCCCGTCCACCCCTGCTCCAGGACCTGCGCACCCTCAGGCTGCCCTGCCTGGTACTGAAGGTGGTTCTTGACAGGCGTGGCATGTGTTAACAGGTCTACAAGTTGCACACCAGGCTGGGGAAGCCAATTCCCACCATTGAGCCCGTGCCAAGGAACTCCACCTCCACCCGTGAACTGGGCGCCCCTGCTGAAGCCCACTCCAGCGGGCTCAATCCCAGCAGGCCAGCCAGGGGCCAGGCACCCCGGCACAACGGTAGGAATTGCCACAATACTCCCGGTGCATGCATGTGCATGTCCAGCCTGCCCCTCGTGCCCGCGCCGTCCTCCAATTGCCTAGATTTGTACACGTGTTCCAGGGACCACGTGGTCTCAGGCAGGAATTTAAGATCCAGATTGGATAGGAGGCTAGAAGTGTGTGTGTGTGTGTGTGTGTGTGTGTGTGTGTGTGTGTGTGTGTGTGTGTGTGTGTGTGTACAGGGCTTGAACCTGATGTTTTTTGTGCTCAAGGATGGTGCTCTATCCCTTGAGCTGTAGCTCTATTTATGGCTTTTTGCTGGTTCATTGGAGACAAGAATTTCATGGACTCCTCTGTCCAGCCTGGCTTCAATCCTCAGGTCTCAGCCTCCTCAGTAGCTGGACTGAGAGGCAGGAGCCACCGGCTCCCCAGTGGAGTTTTGAGGTTCGCTCACCCAGCTGACAGCTCCTAGTCCATTACCCCATTGTGCCTCCCAGCTCCTCCCCCTAGTGGACGGTGTGCTTGTGCCCAAGCTCCTCAACTGGCTGTGGAGATGGAATTCCCACGTGGGTGGGGAACCCAAGCGCATGTTTTATGTTTGCCCTCAGCAACCAGTTTCCTAAATGAATAGCAGCATGGATTATTTTTGTTTGTCTGGTTGGGTGTTGTTGTGGGGGTTTTTTGCGGGGGAGGGGTGGGGGAGGTGCTAGAGACAGAACCCAGGGCCTTGCACGTGCTAAGCAAGCACTGAATATCCCCCCCAGCTCTTGGTTGATTGGTTTGAGGACAGGCTACGGCAATGGAGCCCAGGCTGACCTCAAACCCTCCATCCTCCGGCCCTTGTCTAGGGCTAGGATTACAGGTACGGCCGCCACACCCAGCAAGGAGCTTTGATAAAGAAATTTCTCTCTCCAGAGGCCACCTAAATTTGCCTTAAGGGACGGTATGACCTTTGGTCTACCCACTGTCTCCTGGTGGATTAACTCAAGACTAGAGGGTACCCTGGTGGCTTCTCCAAGCCAGCTAGCTACCCAAACCCAGGGCTCCGCATCATGGACTCAAATTGGTCTTAGCTGTCATGAAAGTATGTCCAAGCTATGCAAAAACAGATATAAGACTAGATATGGTGGTACACACCTGTAACCCCAGCACATGAGAGACTAAGGCAGAGGATCATGAGTTTCAGGCAGCCTAGGCTGTTTGTCTCAAAACAAATCAAAACACTTACAATAACCAAGCCAACCAATCAACACCAATAAACAAATAAACAAAAGACTGTGCAACAAATCAACTTGCATTTGGGGATAAACAATGGATAAGATGGACCTGTCCGATCTCCGTGCACAAGGTCTGGTGCCAGGGTTTCTGGGAACAAAGGAAAAGTTGGAGCTTTCCTCTGAACCAGAACCCCATGAAACTGTTTTGAAGCCTGGCACTGGTGGCTCACACCCATAACCCTAGCTACTCAGGAAGCTGAGAGCTGAGGATCAGTTCAAAGCCACCCCAGACAGGAAGTGTTGATGAGATTCTTATCTCCAATTGCCACCAGAAAACCAGAAGTGGAGCTGTGGCTCCAAGTGGTAGAACGTTGGCCTTGAGCACAAAAGCTCCGGGGTAGCACCCAGGCCCTGAGTTCAAGCCCCAGGACCGGCATAAAATAATAATAGTAATATAATAATAAAGCTCACAGGTGCTTTCAGAGCTGACAGAGGTGACGGACCCTCGAGGTGAGTATCACAGGCTCCTGTGTGAAGAACAGACCCCTGGCCACTTGCTGAGGCCAGCAGCCCGAGTTCTCGTGATCATTCTGCAACTCGCATTACAGAGCCTGGCCTCTGTAGGCCTCACTCACCCCATTCATTGTGCTTTGACACGGCTGACTCCACTTGGAATCTTATCAGCTGGCCCAGGGCAAGCCCAGCTGCAGGGGGTGGTAGGGAGGGATGGAGGAGGCCCCGGGTTGTTTCTAGCCAGGGTCACACAGCTGTCCCCTTCCAGGATCTTCTGAATCGCACTCCCAGGCGGGGAGACCTAACGCGGAGAGACCCAATGGAGAGAGACCCAATGCGGAGAGAGCCAATGCGGGTCGAGGGGGCCCCGCCGAGCCTGCCCCGAGGGACTGCTGGGAGGCAGAGCCAGTGGGCACCGACTTTGTGGAGGAGGTAAGCAGAGGCCATGGGCAGCAGAGCCCCAGTGCCAGCCAGGACATGCTCAGGTCAGGTTCTGAGAGCTTCCCGAACCCCACCCCGAGGGGAGATTTCCAGACCTGGTCCCCTTGTGTAGCTCTATAAGCATTGCCAATGCTAGAATACCCAGTGCAGCCCCAGGCTGGCAACGTGTATGTCCCCACACCCATATGCACATGAGCGTGCTGAATTAGAACCATGATCCCCAGATCTCAGCCTCCTGAGTAGCTAGGATTATAGGCGTGAGCCACTGGTGCCTGGCTACATGTGGCATTTTGTCCAGTTACAACAGTTAAGACTGGGCTACCGGGGGAGAAGAGGGGGGAGGTAGAGTGTGTGGCTGAGTTAAGATCAGATACAGAGAAAGGGTAGAGACCACAGAGGGCGAATGGTGGGCAGAGGCTGGGCCCCAGGACAGCATCCCGGGACCGGGACCATTCCCTCCAGGTAGATCAGTGGGGGAAACACACAGGAGCAGCAGCGAGCTGGGGCATAATGCCACCTGACCAATGTCTCCACCATGTGTCGTGTCCTAGGTGTGCAATGATGAAGGGAAGTTGATTCGCTTCCGCTGCAAGCTGTGCGAATGCAACTTCAACGATCTCAATGCCAAGGACATGCATGTGACCGGGCGGCGCCACCGGCTGCAGTACAGGGTGTGTCCATTGGGGGTGCAAAGCACCATCCCAGGGGCCTGGCGGGGAGCTGGAACAGACACCCACCTCTGCGGCTGAGTCCCTTCCACATCAGACCATGTGGTCTGATGACCCTTAGGGCTCTGGGCGAAGGGGGGGGGGTGTTCTTCATCATGGTGTCTCCATGCAACATCTCCAGGAGCATCTTCGTGTGAGCAGAGCGCTGGGTGACACCTGCAGGCCCCATGGGCCACTGCGCCCCAGCCTCTCTGCTCCAGCTCTGGAGGGCAGCCTAGACCTGCCTGTTCTTCTCCAAAGTGCTGCACTGCAGAGCAGCTAAGCACCATAGCTTGGTGGGCACCATCAACCCTGGCTCCTTTAGCTGTGGATGCTGCCTCTCAGCCCCTCCTGCTCCTTCTCAGAAGCAGTGGTTACCACACACACACACACACACACACACACACACACATCTAATCCCCAGCCATGTCCTGGGTCAGCCCCTCATCTACTGCCTACACAGGAATCAGGAACCAAGGGACCAATAGATGGAGGAACAGATCAGTGGATAGAGGGAGGGAGGGTGGGAGGGAGGGATGGATGGATGGTTGGATACATAGATGGGCAGAAGGAAGAGAGGGAGGGAAAAAGGTAAGGAAGAAAGAGAAGAGGAAGGAAAGAAAGGAGGAAGGGTGAGAGTGAATAGAGTGTGTAAGTGGATGGACAGACAGATGGACAAATGGATGGATGAGCAGGTAGATGGGTGGGTTGTATGTGAATCAATGGTATCTGTTTTATATCGTTGTTGTTGTTGTTTGTGGGGTTCAAACTCAGGGCCTGGGTGCTACCGCTTTGAGCCACAGCACCACTTCTGGTTTTCTGGTGGTTCATTGGAGATAAGAATCTCACGGGGACTTTTCTACCTGGGCTGACTTTGAACCACAGTCCTCAGATCTCAGCCTCCTGAGTAGCTAGGATGACAGACGTGAGCCACCAGTGCCCAGCTGGTATCTATTTTGGAAAGTATCTTCAAATCTGGCCACACAGAAGACTTAGAAACAGATTTATAAAGCAGGTGGGAGGGCGGCCAACTCCATAAGAAACCTTTGGATGGTCCCAGTAGCTGGTTTCATCCCTTGCTGTGTGATTTTGGGGGCAGCCGTGTTACTGGATCGTCAGCAAGCTCCCTTCCACAACCACCGCGCTCTTCACCGACACAGCCCCATACAGCACCCGTGGCACAGCGGCTGCCACGGGCTGCGCACACGATTCATCTCAGCGCCATGAGTCACTAAGGCCATGTTGCTCCGGATGTGCATTTGCTGTTCCGAGGCCTGTGACCGTCCTGTCCCGGCCCCTAGTCAGAAACGCAGACCACTCACGTGCCACTGCTGTGAGCTGCGTCATCCTGACGCCTGCTCCCCTGAGTACCCACTGACCCCTATTCCCTTTAGGGTGCAGAGCAGCGGGTGGGCAGCAGCCAGGGGCTTCCCTGGGTAACCCCGCCTCCTTGCCTTTGCAGAGGAAAGTGGACCCCAGCCTTCCCATCGCCTCGGGGCCCAACGTCCGCCTGCAGAAGGCGCTGGCCGAGCAGCTGCACCGGCAGCGGCAGGTGACCCAGAAGAAGCTGGAGGACATGCGACAGCGCTGGCGCATGGACCTGAGGTACCCGCAGTCCCCCCACATACACACACACGTACACACACGCACACACTGGCCACAGCACCCAGCACACGTGTGGGGCCGCTCCCCTCCCCCATCGTAGCTCAGACCCAAGTCCATCCAGGCATCTGGACAGTGGACAGTGGGGCGGGGACAGTCATGGACGGGAGCGTGGGGCCCCTTGTCTCCCTCCCTCCAGCGTCTCTGATGTCCCTGACTGCCACACACTTTGCCACCCTTCAAGAGCCCCCTCCTCCCCCCCAGCGTTTTCCTGCACAATGTCTGCCTTCCCAGCGCCCGGCCTCAGCAAACCCAAGCAGGGCAGGCCACAGAATGGTCCCACGGCACAGTGGTCCAGCCCAAGGCCTCGTCTATGCCCCCAGGGCGTGGCTGCTGCCAACCTCCTGGCCTTCCTGCCTCAGTCTCCCCGTGCCCATAAGCAGGCAGCATGCAAAGCACCCTCAGTGCCAGGCACCGCCCACCACCTCAGGGCCCCAGGGCAGCGTCCCAGCCCTCGGTCCCCTCTGGTCCCCGCAGGGATCATGAAGAGCGCTGCAAGCGGGCAGAGGAGGAGCCGCAGCCCCCGGAGCAGGAGCTGCCCGCCACGGCGCCGTCCTGGGCCCCGGGGCCCAGTACCAGCAGCCAGGCCACGCCCTCAGCCCCACGTCAGGTGGGTGCCGGGTGCCCTTGTGAAATGTCTCCCAATTCTTGAGAGATCCCCATCTCCTCCTGGGTTTCGAGGTGTAGGGAGAGGTGGCATCTGTGGCTTGGACCCTGGGTTGGATGTGAGGGAGACTCAATTTGCACTCTACCTCTGGTGTGGACCAAAGGGGAAGCACCAGACCCCCCCACACTCAGACCCAAGGCCCCTGAGTCAGCAAGGCTCAGGCCTCTGCTCCACCACCCCAACCCATGGCTCTCACGCTCCTCCACTGCACCCCCCATGAGCTGGACACCTCTGGACACCCCACCTCCAATCACTGCTGTCCACCTGCTGTGGCTCCTTCATTTCCAGCCTGGCCCCAGGGCCCCTTCTGTGTCTTCTGATTGCTGTCCACCACTAGGACACAGCCTGGCCCTTTTGTCCCATACCCCCATCCCCTTCGTATGAGACCCACTGACAGAGGCTCCCCTCCCCCCCAGCCCAAGCGCCGGCCGGAGTCCAGTGATGACCGCCATGTCATGGGCAAGCACGCCACTATCTACCCCACGGAGGAGGAACTGGAAGCCATCCAGAAGACCGTGTCCCACGTGGAACGGGCCCTCCGCATGGTGTCTGACATGCTAGCTGAGGAGGAGCAGGAGAGGGCAGAGGAGGAGGGCTATGAACACAGGTAATGCCACCACCCCCCCAGAGCAAAGCCAGGTTCCAGTCCTCATTGCTCCGTGAGCCAGGGTCCCCAGAGACACACAGTGACTGCAGTCCGCCACTTGGAAGACTGAGATGGGGTATGGCATGAGCAAGGAGTTTGGGACCAGCCTGGACAGCACATGGAGACCCCACCCCCAAAAACACAAATGCATTGGAGGGGGGGCTGTGGCTCAGGCCCAAAAGCACCGGCCTTGGGCATTAAAGCCAAGGGAAAGCACCGGGCCCTGAGTTCAGGCCCCAGTACGGGAAAGAAAGAAAGAGAGAGAGAGAGAGAGAAAGAGGGAGAGAGAAAGGGAGAGAAAGAAAGAAAGGAAGGTGGGAAGGAAGGAAGAAAGGAAGGAGAGAAAGAGGAAGGAAGGAAGGAGGAAGAGAAAGGGGAAGTGGTGAAGGAAGAGAAGGAGGGAGGGGGAAGGAAGAAGGAAGAGGAGGGAGGAAGGAAAGAAAGGAAGAAGGCAAGGAAGGAAGGAAGGACACAGAAAGCTGACATTTTGCAGAATCTGTTTTTCGTGAGCAGAGGGAAGCCAGGGAGATGGGACCCCGACTCCCCACATGGCGAGCAGTCACAGAGCCAGCCACAATCCACCCGCATCCACATGAGCCACAGCCCTGAGGACGCAGGCAGAGTCCTCAGGTCATAACTACCACACGACTCCATGGCCTGGGGAGCTCAGCTCTCCCAAGCCCTTCCTCCCTGGGTAGCAGCGTCATCTTCATTTCCTTTCTTTAGCGGTAAAATGTACACCACATAAAAGTTCTCGTCTTAACTTTTCTTTTTGGTTTCATTGGAATTTGAACTCAGAGCCTGGTACTTTCTAGGCAATCACTCTACCACTAGCCATCCCACTTGAGATACTCTCCTACCACCTGAGCCACGCCCCCGCTGTGTGTGTGTGTGTGTGTGAGTGTGTGTGTGAGAGAGAGACAGAGACAGAGACAGAGAAAGTATATACTGGGGCTTGAACTTGGGCCTGGGAGCCATCCCTGAGCTTTTTCACTCAAGGCCAGTGCTCTACCACTTGAGCCATAGCTCCACTTTGGTGGTTAATTAGAGAAAAGAGCCCCATGGACTGTTCTTTCCCAGCTGGTCTCCACCTGCGATCCTCCCCTCTCAGCCTCCTGAATAGCTAGGATTACAGGCATGAGTCACTGGTGCCAGACTCATTCAAGTGTATATCACTGGGTGTCATTTGTCACGGTCACATGGCTGTGCAGCCACCACCACCCCCCAATCCATCTTCAGAACTTACTCATCTTCCCACACCAGAAGTTGAGCCCCATTGAACCCTTGCCCCCTGTTAGTTTAACAGACCCACAGATGTACTCTCCATCCTGTAGATGTGCCTATGGGAACAATTCACACACATGGACCCACACACAGAGGGGCCTGGCAGGAGCCACTGGGTTGTCCAGGCCTCAGGTCACCATAGGCGTCCTGCCCACCCCCACCCTCGTGTCTTCATGGGCGCCCGAGTGTCCTCCACCCAAGTTAGCCGAGCACAAAATGAACCCTTGAGCCAGGCACCGGTGGCTCACACCTATAATCCTAGCTACTCAGGAGGCTGAGGTCTGAGGAGCAGTGGTTCAAAGCCAGCCCAGACAGGAAAGTCCATAAGACTCTTTATCTCCAATAAATTACCCCCCCCAAGAAAAAGCCAGAAATGGAGCTGTGGCTCAAGTCACCCACAGATGTCATACGGGCCACAGAGCATGCTGGGGGACAGCGGGGGAGAAATCTGTGGATTCCAACATCACTGTCCCTTGCCCACAATGACCTGTGTGCACACAATGACCTGGCATAACTTTCACTCCCTCCTGACGGGGGAGGGGGGGGAACGCCCTGTCAGAAGGGCCAGAGTCTCACTTGACAGATGAGGAAACCGAGGCTCCCCTGCCCTAATGGTGCATCTGTGGCTCTGTCTCCACAGCGGCCCTCGGGCCCTGAAAGGCGTCATGCGTGTCGGCATCCTGGCGAAAGGCCTTGTCCTTCGGGGGGACCGGAGCGTGAAGCTGGCCCTTCTCTGCTCCCAGAAGCCCACGCGTGCCCTGGTGCAGGAGATTGCAGAGAGGCTGCCTGAGCAGCTCCTGGTAAGGGTGGCCATCCCGCTGCGCCCTTCTTCCGTGATCCTTTCCCTCGCGTCCTGCCAGGTGTGAATGCAGCATGGTATTTTTTTTTTAAGCCAGGCACTGGTGGCTCACACCTGTCATCCTAGCTACTCAGGAGGCTGAGATCTGAGGATCACGGTTCAAAGCCAGCCCAGGCAGGAAAGTCCATGAGACTCTTCTCGCCAATTAACCACCAAATAGCCAGAAGTGGTGCTGTGGCTCAAATGGGAGTATACTAGCCCTGGGCAAAAAAAAAGCTCAGGGACAGTGCCCAGGACCTGAGTTTAAGCACAACAACAACAATGATAATAATAATCATAGTAATAATAGTAAACTCAGGCAAAAAGGGTGAGAGACGCAGCTGAGGGATAGAATTCCAGCCGAATGAGTGAGTTCATTCCCAGAGGAAACAACCCAATCTCAAAGCTGTGTCTTCTTCCAGTTCTGTCTAACCTCAGGGCCTGGAAACACCCCTCCTCTCCAGGGGTTACTCATGGGAGCTAGGCAGCCCTCAGGGTAGATAGTTACTACACTGGCACCCCAACCTTCCCTTGAGTTCTTCTGTGAAGAACTTAACACCAGGTAGATCACAGATGGGGAGAGGGGGGAGGCTCTGGGGACAGGGTCCCTCCCTGGCAGAGGACAGGATGACCTGAAGTCTGAGGGAGGTCGGTATTCCACACAGAAGCACCAGCACCTGCCCAGGCTGTAGGCAGAACAGGAGAGGTGAGTGCAAGGGATGAGGCGCTGGACCAAGCCAGGCCTGAAGGCCGTGCAAAGGGGCAGGACGGCATTCTCAGGGAAGTGGGAACTGTCGGGGGTGTGAAGCAGGGCTGTGACATGGTCCGACGTCAGTGACTTCATCACACAGTCCCTGAGCCTACCACACAATAAAATCGATATTGCGCCGGGTGCCCGGTGACTCACGCCTGTCATCCTAGCTACTCAGGAGGCTGAGATCTGAGGATATCTCCAATTCACCACCAGAAAACTGGAAGTGGTGCTCAAGTGGCTCAAGTGGTAGAGCGTTTGCCTTGAGCTGAAGAGCTCAGGGACACCGCCCAGGCCCAGAGTTCAAGACCCATGACCGACCTCTCCCCTCCCCCCCCCCAAAAAAATGGATATTGCAAAGAAGGCTCAGGTACAGGCCTGGCTTGCTGGGAACTCGCAGCTCGAGGGCCTCACAAAGCTAGCAGTGCCCTCTCCCCTCTGCCCTGTGTGTGAATGGTGCCCTTAGGGGGCTGCCTTTCTGCAGAAGGCCTTGAACAGGAGGGGCTCAGGAATCGGGAGGGAGATGTAACTGAGGGAGGCCTGGCTCAGGAGTGCACGCAGGCAGCGTGGAAGGCAGGGACAGGGAAGTAGAGGCCGGACAGCACACAGCCCGACTCATTACATAAGTGGCAGTGGCACCTCACTGTCGATTTGATTTGCTTCTCTCTGGCCATGACATTCATATTTGCCTTGTAAAAGGTTGCACAGGTCATTTTTGTGTCTTTTTTTTTTAACCAACTATCTCAGTTCATTTGCCTATATATTTATCATTTGATTGCTTATCTTGTTGAGTTGCTGGCACTCTTTACACAGGGAGGCTCCTAACGTGCACCCCTGGAGGGCTGGGACTGTGTCTGAGTCACACAGGAGTGCCAGGTGCTAGGAAGCGGGGCCCAGCACCTAGCAGCAGGTGGGGGGGCAGATGAACATGCGCGCCCCAGCTTCGGCCTAGGAAGCGGGGCCCAGCACCTAGCAGCAGGTGGGGGGGGCAGATGAACATGCGCGCCCCAGCTTCGGCCTAGGAAGCGGGGCGCAGCACCTAGCAGCAGGTGGGGGGGCAGATGAACATGCGCGCCCCAGCTTCGGCCTAGGAAGCGGGGCGCAGCACCTAGCAGCAGGTGGGGGGCAGATGAGCATGCGCGCCCCAGCTTCGGCCTGAGCTGAAGTAACACTGCCTGGTGTTGCGCTGACACCTAGATTTTGGCCGAGGACAAGTACGAGATTTCCTCTGACCCGGAAGACAATGTGGTCATCTCCTCCTGCGAGGAGCCCAGGATACAAGTCACCGTGTCCATCACTTCGACCCTGATGCGTGAAGACCCCTCTGCCAACCAAGGTGCACCCCATGCACACCTCCCCATCCCCCTCTGCCCCAGTACAAGGGCCTGGAACCACTTCTGCCTCCTTCCTGAAAGGATGTCACCACAGCAGCCTTCCAGGACCTCTGTGTCCCCGGGGCCTCCCCCACACCTCCTGCCTCAGTCTCCCTCAGTGCTGAGACGACTGGCATGCATCCCTGCACCCAATAACGGGAGAGGCGGGGGGACGGGGCCACAGTTCCCCCAGAGCCTGGGGGCACCATCCACAAGGACAGCGACGCATTGCGGTCACCCATATCCTCCATCCACTGCCATGATGCTCTTGGAACTTTCTAGAAGTCAGGCCACATCCAGAGTTTCCCACTTCCACGTTCCCTGCACTGCAGGGGATTCCCCCCCTCCCGTCCCCACGTGCACGCGCACACACACACACACACACACACATCAGGAGCTCTGGCCCTACCATGAGGGTTCACGGTGACAGATCAAGATCAAGTGTCCCCAGATCCCAGAGCTGCCCTCCCCCAGGCTAGAATGGAGAAGGTTGGGCGCCCTCCCCCCTCTCCAGCACTGCGGGCCTCCCTGCCTACTCCCTTCCACTTCTAGAAGGAGTGGAGGATCCTCAGGATGAGCCGGACGATATCCTGAGTCAGGAGAGATGCCTGGAGTCTCTGGCTGCCCTCCGCCATGCCAAGTGGTTCCAGGTGAGAGGTTTAGGATGAAGGGGAGACTGCCCCCCCCCAAAAAAAGTAAAACTACACTCCAGGTGGCCCCTGCCTTGGCCTGGACCCTGAGCACCGCTGTCTGCTCATTAAGCCGGAAGTGGTTGCTGAGAGCAGTCACCTGACATTGTGACTTTGGTCCTGGCTGGACTGCGTGACACACGAAGCGGTGGGGGCCACCGCTGGCCAGCAACCTGAGGCTCACCCAGCCAGTGGCCTTCTCCCCTCTTGTTGTCTCCCCCCAGGAGTCACCCTCAGATCAGGGCCAGCTGCCCCCCTGGAGGGAGGGAGCCCTGAGTCTGTCCCCCGCAGCTAACCCTGAGCTTCCTCTCCCCCTGCAGGCCAGAGCCAGCGGCCTGCAGCCCTGCGTCATCGTCATCCGCGTCCTGCGGGACCTGTGCCGGCGCCTGCCCACCTGGGCGGCCCTGCCAGCCTGGGTAAGGCAGCTGGGGAGGCTCAGAACCCCTTCCCCCCAAAAAAAGAGGACCCCCCACACACAAGGGACTGACTCCCGAGCTGAACAACCTGTCCATCTATTCCTGTGGGGCCAGTGTGAGCTGTAGCAGGGAAGGTGACTACGGGTGAGGGAGGCCCCAAGGCCCTGGGGGCGGGGGGGGGGACAGAGAGAGCCTTGGGCCGCCCCCAAGCCTCATCTGACTGTCATTGTCCCAAACCTCAAGCTTGTGATGAGCATGGGCGGCCGTGTAAATAAACACAGGTGAACTCATTATCTTGCCCATGTAATTGTAACCCCTCTGTACAGTATGTTCACAATAAAAATAAAAAGATAAGCACAGGTGAGCAGGGAGGTGACACGCAGGCGTCAGGGCGCTGGGCCACAGCCACAAAGGGGGTCCTGCAGCCCTAACACCCCCTACTCCATCCACCCCTCGCTGGCATCCACCTCCTGCCCAAAGCCCGGCTGCTAGGCCAGGGTCTGAGAGACTGTCCAGGGCCGGGGAAAACGCCTAGTTCACCCTGTGGAGGGCACAGTGGCCATGTCACGTGCTGTCACCAGGGTCCTGCCCCCCCCACACACACACTTGGGTCCCCCGGGGCACCTCCACACCCATCCCCACCCCAGCATGGGGGGAGCCTCTGAGGGTGTCAGGAGGGAGGAGAGAAGCCCAAAGGGGCCTCGTGCCCCAAGACCCCTGGACTCCCCCTAACCCCTGCCTCCACGCATCTCCCCCTCCCCCGTGTCCTCCACCCCCTGCCAGGCCATGGAACTGCTGGTGGAGAAGGCCCTGAGCAGCGCCGCCAAGCCCCTGAGCCCCGGGGACGCCGTGCGGCGGGTCCTGGAATGTGTGGCCACAGGCACGCTCCTGCCAGGTCAGTGCCCACCCGGGACTAGAGGGGAGGGCTGGGGCAGGACCTCATGGGGATGAGGCGGGGCTCGCTGTGGATACGCCCACTGGCGGGGCGGGACTGCAAGCGGCCCAACTGGGACTCTGCCCTGTGCCCCCCCTCCCCTGCCTCCCCTGCCCTCAGCACTGAGCACCTGTCTTTTTGGACAGTGGCCAGCTAGTGGCCTGATTCAAATTTATTTGAATAAATAGGCTATTTTTTTCCCAGGGAAATAAGCCGAAGTCAGACATAGGTTAGGTCCAGTGTTGGGGAAGGAGGAGGAGGGGAGACAGGCTGAGGAAAGGGGTGCCCTGGGCAGAGTGCAGACTCTTCCTCCCCCCTGGGCCAGAGCTCCCCTGGTGGGGAAGAGCAGCCTCGCCCCGTCCCACCACTGGGCACCCCCACAAGGCGTCCTCGACCCGCTCTGAGCCCACTTTTCCCTCCCACAGGTGGGCCAGGGATCCAGGACCCCTGTGAGAAAGACCAGACGGACGCCCTGGAGTCCATGACTCCCCAGCAGCGGGAAGACGTGACGGCCAGTGCCCAGGTACGAGCACCAGGCCCGGGCAGGATGAGCCACGCAGCAGCCTCCAGGGCCTGCTCCCAGCTCTGGGCTGGGCCGGCCGCTCAGGGCCATGGCTGGCCGTGGCAGGGATGAGTCCCAGACCCTGGGGTTCTGCGAGCGTGACCATTCCAGTTGACTGACTACCCACAAGACCCAAAACACTGCCCCCTCGGTGGGCAGCACGCCTGTAATCCCAGCAGTCTGGAGGCCCTGGCCGGAGGACCGTGAGTTCCAGGCCAGCCTAGGCTACACAGCGAGACCCTCTTCCAGCCACACACACACAACACTCCCCCCCGACACACACACCCCTTTCTCGTAGGATGCAAACTGCTCCAGTGCAGGGTTCAAACCTGGGCTCTGAGGGACCCCATGGTAGCCCCGCTGCCAGCCAGTGCCAGGCCATGCCCCCATGCCAGTGGGTCCCTGGGGCACAGAGCTGGGCATCACAGAATGTGGGCACCGCCAGTCCATCTTGGTCTGGAGTGAGATTTCAGGCAATACGTGAAACACGGTGAGAACAAAGTATTAGAACAGAAAGGGGCTTCACAGGTGACTGTGGGTGATCGCAGAAAGAAGGGTCCCCAATGATGGCCACCCAACACAGATGGGTGTGTGTGTGTGTATGCACACACGCGCGTGCATGCATGCGCACATGCACATGAGCACATACTGAGACTTAAACTCATGGCTTGTCCCTTGAGCACTGTCCCTGAGCTTTTTTTTTGGGGGGGGGCCAAGAGTGGCACGCCACTGCTTGAACCACACCTTCACTTCCAGCTTCCATCCTCCAGATCTCAGCCTCCTGAGTAGCCAGGATTACAGGTGTGAGCCGCCGCCACCCGGCTCCAGCACACATTGTCGTTGAGCTTTAGGGTGCTTAGAGCCTCAGCTCCTCCCCAGGACCAGCCCACGGGGCAGTGATCTGCACGGTACAGAGGAATTCCCCCACAGGCCTCAATCCTTCTAGGCACGTGTTACCCATGATCACTTAAGAAGCACTCAGAGAGAGGGCAGGCAGCTGCTTCCTACCTGTGAGGCAGAGATCAGGAGGATTGGGTTTGAAGGCCAGCCAGTGAAAAAGTTGATAAAAGAGTCCATCTGAACCAATACGCTGGGCATGTTGGCGTGAGTCTGTGATTCCAGCTGTGCAGGAAGTATACACAGGATCATGGCAGTCCCAGTCTAGCTCAGGCAAAAACTTGAGATGACTCCAAAAACTAAAAACGTAAAAGGCTGGGGGTGTGGCTCAAGTAGAAGAGTGCCTGCCTAGCAAGTGCTCCGAGTTCAAACCCTGCTACCACCAAAAAAGAAAAGTACACGACCGATTGATCGATGGATCGATTTTTGCCGATCCTGGGCCCTGAACTCCAGACCTGGGCGCTGTCCCTGAACTGCTTTTGCTCAAGGTCAGTGCTCTACCACGTGAGCCACAGCGCCACCTCTGGCTTTGACTAGTTTATTGGAGATGAGTCTTACAGGACTTTCCTGCCTGGGCTGGCTTTGAACCTCGATCCTCCCATCTCAGCCTCTTGAGAAGCTAGGATGACAGGCTCCCCGCTTGTGTCTAACGCCCCGTGTCGTGGCCCGCAGCACGCCCTGCGCATGGTGGCATTCCGGCAGATCCACAAGGTGCTGGGCATGGACCGCCTGCCAGCCCGAAGCCGGCTGGGGGCACGCGGGCGGAAGAGGCCAAGAGAGGCGGTGCAGGCCCCGGGAGTCTCCGGTGAGAGGAAGCGGGGCCGGAAGGGGGGCGAGGGGCCTGTGTGAGCCCCGCCCGCCCTCGGCGGCTTTGGCGCGTCTCCACCCAGGCAGCCGGGCACACGGGTGTGCCCGCCACCTGCCTCCGCCCCCCACCCCCCACCCCGGCATCAAGTGGTGGCATTGTCCTTCCAGTCGTGTTCTGTAGATTCTTGTCACACATTGTGCTTCACTTGCTAGAGAAGTCACGGCCCCCTCTCCCCACCAGTACAAGGAACCACCCTTGGCCCTGTCCCCCCACCCCGCCAGGCAGCCCCCAACCTGCTACTTCCGCTGGCTTTCAACCGGCCCCGTGGTGTTCTGTGCAGTGTGTGGCTTCCCCCGTCCCCCCAGTTCTGCCTGCCCCTCAGACGAGACCCACAAGCCTGTCCTGAGCCCAGGGGCGTGGACGCCGGCCCTGGAGAGCAGAGAAGGGGCTGGGGAGAGGTCCCCCAGGCCAGCGGCACGTGGGGACGCCAGCGCGGAGGAGGCACCCGCACACCTCCTCCGTGCGCACAGGGCCGGCACGAGAGCACCCCGGGCAGGACACCCCTCACCCTCAGCCACTACCCCCCAAAAGTAATGCTGGCTGCTCCCTCCCCACCCCCAGTGCTGTGATCCCCCACAGTGGAACCCCAGCCCGAGACCCCCTCCCCCCTTCCCCCCACACACCTGAGTGCCTTCCGCAGAGAGGGCCACTCGGTGGTGGTGAGCTGTGCCGGGCTGGGGCAAGTGCGCCCCGCGTTCCCCCTCGCAGAAGCAGGGCCTGGCCCCCACCCCACCCGCCCCCCACCCCTCTTCTTCCTTCACAATGACATGGGAGAGAAGAGGCTTGGACCTCCAGCCCCCCATGAGCATTGACGCTGCTGACTCCATTGCTCTGGACACAGGCTGGCTTTGCGTGTGGTGTTGCATCTGGTCATCTGTGTAAAGCCACCAGACATGAAGGAAACACGGGGAATAAAGGAGAGGCGCTTGTGTGCTGTGTGGCCCGTGTTGTCTTTTTCACCACTGCCCTGGAGTCTTGGGGGGGAGCAGGCTGGGCACCCCAAGGGCCCAAGCTTCCCAGTGTCTGATTCCCACCCCTCCCCCCCACACCACAGCCTGGGCTCCCTCAGGGAACCCTGGTGAACACTCCAGAAGCAATCATCAGGAGCTGGGAATGTGGCTCAGCAGTAGAGTGCTTGCCTAGCATGCATGAAGCCCTGGGTTCCATTCCTCAGTACCACGGAAACAGAAAAAGCTGGAAGTGGTGCTGTGGCTCAAGTGGTAGAGTGCTAGCCTTGAGCAAAAGAAGCTCAGGGACAGTTCAAGCCCCAGGGAAGAAGAAAAGAGAGAGAAAGAGGAAGGAAGAAGGAAGGAAGGAAGGGAGGGAAGGAAGGAAGGAGGAAGAAGAGGAGGAGACGACGATGACAACGTCGTCTGAACATCACACACACCGGAGCATTCAGGCTTGGGAGCTGCCATGGGGGGAGGGGGACACAGCCATAGCATAATGAAGGACCCCGGTCCGCAGAGGCTTCCTTCAGGCCCTGGATCCTGACCAGAAACGTCAGCGTAGTGCAGAGAGGTCACAACGGCCACGTTCAGGATGCCCCTCGAGCCTCGGGGCTCCCTCAGGCTGTGGGGGGAGGGCAGAGAGGGCACAGTGGGCAGGCATCCTGAGCACAGAGCCCAACCTCCCCTCCAGCCCACGGGGGTCACAGGTCACCACCTGCCGCCCAGCTGAATCCCTGCCCCCACCCCCAGACCCCCCTGGACTCCTTCACCATCATAACTCACGGGCCAGGAAACCCTCCGGGGTTCCTTTGTCTTTATGCTAGTCAACCCCCTGAGGGACCCACTGCACTCAGGATGAGACCCCCTACCCCAGTCCAAACAAGGCTCCCACTGGCGCCTCCCTGTCCTTCAAATCTCCACCAGGTGGACCACAGCTCTTTACCCATCTTGGATGAGCCAGGCCAGGCCCCAGGGCCTTGGCACCTGCTGTTCCCTTGCACTGGTCAGCTTCCCCTCTCCCCACCACACACACACTGCTGTTCCCGCCCATCCTCACTCCAGTGTCACCTGCTCAGAAAGCCTCCCCCACACCCCCACCCTTCATGTGACCCTGTGGGCTGTCTTCACACCAGACATGAACGGAAGGACACTGTGGCGGGAAACGCTTCTGCCTGTCTGACCCATGTAGGCCCAGGGCCTAAAGCAGACCTGGAACTGATGAATAACTCTCCAATCAGGGCTTAAACAGCCAGAGATGTGACCCCCCCCCACACACACACACACACACGCCCTCAGCAATCATGTGAACCTCTCTCTGAGGCTGGGAGGGAGGGCGGGGTCACAGTGGCGACTGGACGGCAGGCAACTTGAAGAGCAGAGAGCCCGGCTACCTGACCACAAACAGCCTCAACCTCCCCCCACACACAGCAACCCCACCCCCACCCCCCGCCCAGTGACAAAGAGTTAACCGGGCCGCCTAGCGACTCCAGATGCCTAAACTCTCAGCAGTGGCTTAGCGAAAGGCTTGGGTCCAGACGGGCACTTTGTCAGGCCATGGGGCTCACTGAAGGCCTAAAGCACCATCGCATCTGACCTTCCCCCTCCCATCCCCCTGCCTGCCCCCCAGTCAGTCCTCCTTACATGGGGCAGGGGACCCCAGAGCAGGAAGGACTAGAAGCCAGCCTGGGGGGGGGGGAGGCGGCAGCCTAGAAGCATCCTGGAGGAGGCGGAGCCTGAACCAGGCTGCGGATGCAGGTGGCCTGTTGCTAGGAGACGGTGAGTAAGGGGAGGGAGGGGGATGATGCGTGTGTGGGCGGGGCTAAGGATGGGAATAGAGGAAGGACAGGTCTGGGGCTCCTGTCTCCAAGGTCATCCACACAGCACAGGAAGTCACTGGGACCAATCACTGCAGTCTGCCCCCCCCCAAGTGTGGGCAGAAATAAGTCCCAGGCGGGCATTCAGGAAAACCTCCCAGCAATCGTGTCTGCCTTCCCCCCCCATAACTGCATCCATTCTCTGGTTGCCCTCTGGGGTTTTGGATTGTAAGGCCCATCTGAATTTTCAGTAAAGCCTAGTGGCTCGCTCACACTACTAGAGCCTCCCATGAAAATGGAAAGGACCGTGCTGGGAGTTGAGATCCTGGACACCAGCAGCTGCCACGCTTTCTTTTTTTTTAATGAGCAAAGTTGGAAACAGACTCTTGCACATCCATGTTCACAGCAGCCAAAAAGTGGAAACAGCCCAAGTGCCCTCTCTGGGTGGGTGAACGGAGACAAATACCATGGCCTGTCCATACAGTGGAATACTAGGCAACCATGAAAAAGGGATCATGACAACACCAGCTGCAGCATGGAGGGACCTTGAGGCACGGTGCTCAGATAGCGGGTACAGGACATGCACTGAAGGACTCCACCCCCAGGAGCTCCCAGCTCCAAAGACAGGAAGCAGGACGGGAGCAGGGGAATGAGAGAGCTGGTGAGCTGGCGTTGATGGGGGAATGAACTTCGGTGTGGGACAAGGAAACGTCGAGGGAGTGGCCACGGCATGACCACGTGAGTGGGCTCAATATTACTGAATTGTGCACTGAAACATGGCTGGAGCCGGGAGTGGTCAGTTTTGTGTCCATGATCTCATACACACACACAAAAAAAAAAAAAAATCTGAGCAGGCACCAGTGGCTCATGCTTTGTAATGCTAACCATTCAGGAAGCTGAGATCTGAGGATCAAAGCATGGAGGTTCGAAGCTGGCTCAGGCAGGAAAGAGACTATGAGACTTCAATTAACCACAAAAAAGAAAAAAACTTGCAAGGGCTCTAGCCTTGAGAAGAAAAAGAAAAGAAAAGAAAGGAAGGAAGGAAGGAGAAAGAAGGAAGGAAGGAAGGAAAAGGAAGAAGGAAAGAGCCCAGAAACAAACATCTAGGCCTTAAGATCAGGCCCTAGAACCAATATCAGAAGAAGGGGGGGTGGGGAGGAAGAGAAGGAAGAGGAGGAGGGGAGGAGGAGGAAGACAGGCCAGAAGCTGTCCCTTCACACAGCCACACACGTAGTCTGTAGCCTGGCCCTTGAACATATTAGCAGTGGGTGTGTGGGCAAATTCCCTTTCCCTCTCACTCTAAACTTCAAACTTGGGGTGAAGCCAGTTCCCTGACCTTGTGGGGTGGGGAGGGGAGACTTTGGCAACAAGGTGCGCTTCCAAATACTCCCTGCTCAGAAAGGTGGGTCTGGCGTTCAGGCAGGAGCAGGGCCGGCCAGCAGCATGGAAGGCAGAGCAGGGGGGGAGCACAGTGGTAGAGTCCCTGCCCCGGTGTGCCAGGCCCTGCACCAACGGGAAAAGTTAAAAATCAGAAAAAGGAGCCCGAATAACACTATATTTCTCTCTTGCTGCTTTGTAATTCACACACACGCACACACACACACAATTTCAAGGCACAGAAATATTTCTTATAGCTTTAATAATGAGGGAGAATAACAATCAATGTATTAAACATGGGAAAAAAGAAAAAGGAGACAGGCGCCGGTGGCTCACGCCTGTCATCGTAGCTGCTCAGGAGGCTGCGATCTAAGGATCACGGTTCAAAGCCAGCCTGGGCAAGAAAGTCCATGAGACTCTGATCTCCAATAAACCACCAGAAGATCGGTAGTGGTGCTGTGGCTTAAGTGGTAGAGCACTCACCTTGAGCTGAGATGCTCAGGGACAGCGCCCAGGCCCAGAGTTCAAGCCCCCCAAGTGACAAAAAAAAAAAAAGTAGGCAAGGTAATGCTACTTGGGATGGAGAGATGGAAGGTTCCAGCTCAAAGCCAGCCGAGGCAGTAAAGTTTACCAGACTCCATCTCAGACATTGGCTGGAGTGCCCCACCTGCCATCCCCAGCAGCACAGGGAACACAAATAGAAGACTGAAGCCCAGGCTGGCCCAAGCATAAAGCCCTACCTCAAAAGTAACCAACGCGGGCTGGGAAGGTGGCTCAGTGGTAGAATGGTTGCTTAGCACGCATGAAGCCCCAGGTTCGATTCCTCAGTTCAACCTAACAGCAAAAGCTGAAAGTGGCACTGTAATTCAAGTGGTAGAGTACAAGAGAAGCTCAGGGACAGTGCCCAGGCCCTGA